GTACTCTCCGCACGCTCCCGGGATCTTCGCGATGGCGAGCCGCGACCGCGCTTTCTCATCACATCCGAGGTCAGATCCCTGATCCATCTTATCACTCATTGCTTCGGCGACTCGGCTGTTCGGACGAGTCCAGTGACTCCAGTCGTATCATTATCCTTCAAGGCCCTGCATAAATATTTGATTTGAGTTCCGACTCGCGGATGAATAATCATGCCTCATGCCCATCCCAGTAATTAATCAATCCTCTCTCCAGCTTCGCTAAGACCCGTTTCCTGTAATTGGACATATCCGGTTGCGGTTTGCCACATAATGATAGTGCACATGAGACAGGACATTTGAATCCACGGCGGAAGCATTACCAGCAGATGAGCTGAGAAATGATCTCAGATCCGAGATGAGTTGGCTGTTGGGCTCGCTCGCCGCGGTGCGTGCTGCTGCGCGGACATTCTGGAACTTAGTGCGGTCCGAGCGTGCGACTCTGCAGAGCGGATAGGCGGGCGGGCGAGAGCGAGCGAGCGCGTCCGCGGGGACGATCCATGTGACCGGTCAGATCCTTGTCGTTGAGTCAAGCGGTGTGCGATCGGCAGCCGCGTGCCGCGATGGATGGGCGGATGGGTGCTTGTCTGGTTTTTGGGAGGGGTCGGTTTGATCTTGCTGGTCTAGATTGGTCTTGAGTGTGTTTGAAGAGGTTACTGATGCCTAATGAAAGGGAAGGAAGGAAGTGATGATTGTGTAGATGGTTTGTTGTATTTATCTAGCTATTCGTAGTACCAGTTTATGGTAGATGCTATATACTCGGTTGAGATTGATCAACATGAGGAGAGTCCTGCCCAATAACGCCTAACAATGCAAAGTGTATGAGTGTATGCATGCAATGCATTCCGAAGTCCAAATTCAAAAGCCGTAATTTTTTAATGCAAAGCGTCGCTGGTTGAACGCTGCAAAAGTATGTCCAGAACATCAAAGTCGTCAGGGTATCACGTATTATATAGTAGAGCGGAAGAGTAATCAGAAGCACGCTCAGCATGCTTCAATGATCGGTTGCCGCGCTTGTTGTGCGTAATACCGGGTTTCGAAGTCTGGATCCCCGAGAGAGATCTCGGTAGTGTGTGGCTGTTTCTCGTCGAATGATTCGAGGAGCAGCTGTGGTGGTGAGGGGGGCATGCTGTCATCTTCAGAGTCGTCCTCGTCGTGTGACAGCTCTGGCGGGGTTTGTCGTGATGGTGATCGGGTGAGGGCAAGCTCATCCAGATCCTCGTCATCATCGTACTCGAACTCGGAGTCAGAGTCGGAGTCGGAGTCGGAATCGTAGTCCTCGAGCTCAGTCTCGGTGACGATGGCAACGGGAGATGGTGCTCGTCGTCGCACGGGAGCGTAGTCCTCCTCCATGTCCGAGTCCTCCTCGCTGTCATCTGAATCGGCGTCGGAGAGATATTCTGGGTCCCAGTCTTCCTCTGGCTCCTCAACGAGGGTTTCAGCCCATTGGATGTGCTCAGATTCGGAGCGGCGGGATCCCTTGCTGGCTCCGCTGACTGTCTGGTTGAACCAGCGCTCCTGCTCCTGCTCGGCATCAGCCAGATCGATCATGAGAGTGTCGAGGAGGTTGGCGTGGCCGACGAGGAGGCGCAGGTTGTGGTCCGCCCGGGAAGCCTCTCGGGTAAGCTTCTTGCGGGCGGTGTGGGCGAGGTAGTATGTTTGTGTGATACTCATTTTCTTCTGTTGGCGCTTGCGAGTGAGCGAGGTAAAGTATGAGCTGGGAGAGATGGTCGAGGGAGAAGAGGAGGAAGTAATAGTCGTCGAGGTAAGCAGCTGAGAGAGTTTTGTGGGAGAAGACATGGTGCCGATTGATGTGTTTATGATCTCAAATTGTGACTCAGGCAGCACTGAAAGTGTCCGGGCGATCGTCCAATAGCACGCGGGTGGATGAGGCGGTGTATCGAGAGGCTGACAGCCCTATCTTTCTGATACGAGCGATAGTATTAGGGAACCCTGCGGCCGACAGGTAAGATTGTGAGGATATCGTAATTATTATTCGGCCTTGGATACTTGTTGTGCATCGACAGGTTGTAGCTGAGTCCCAAGCGTCAGGTGGCTGAATGTGTGTTGTACGTGGATGTCTGAGGTGTGTAGTAGTAATCCTTGTTGGGCAGGCTGGTTTCCAGAGAGTCGGTGTAGAAGATAGAGATCGATCAGAAAGGGACCAGGAAGGAGGGTTTTGTATCTGATATATCCAGCAGGGGACCACTTTGTTAGTTTCAATTCTTTATTTTTTTTTCTCCATTTTCTTTTGTTAGCCTTTGTTTGTGATTCATAATCCTCTCCCCGAGATTAGGTACACTAATTCAGTTTTTTCCTTCTTCTTTCCGGTTCTGCTGGCTTTGGGTCAGGCTCCGTCCAGTCCGTAAGTCCGATCGGATGATTCGCAAACCGGGCTCCAGGCATAAGAAATTGATTTGCGCTAAACCCTGCGAGTTTCTGGACAGTGCTCTCCGTGGATCCGATCAACGGCCCAAGGTTGGGATTTGCATTCACCGCCTCTGCATCGGGTCCAATCAGACTCTTGGCTGCCATGAGTCAGGACTTATCATCGCAGCGCTTTACCAAGAAAGGCAATCGCAACGTCGCCAACAATTGACCAAAATGGCAAAACTAGAACGCGCCGCGGAGCGGATGACCAATGTCTCCGTAATTCTGTATCACGATACCGAAATCAATACACAGGCTCTTGGTAATCTCCGAGCAGACACCGCAATTATTCAGCGGATTTTCCAGATGACTCTTTGAAATCCGACAATGGATCGTTAACTCCAATCCCCGACAATGGTTTACTTGGAACTCCTGGTGATGTCTGGTACTCAGCATAGCTGGACCCTGATGGCTCTGACTGAGTTTGCACTCGCAATTTGGAACACATTATTCCACAGCGATGACCACGAGGTGAATCAGAGTTGATACGTTGCTTACACAGAAGCTTCTCCCGAGTTCCCGGATATCCGCAATCTCCAACTTGACATTATGACGGTCTAGGCGCGATCAGAGAACGTGATCGAGCCAAGCCGTGTTCTGCAGACTTGGCTCTCGAGCCTCTAGGTGACGACAGAGGCGGCGCCCTGGTTTCATCTCGTTTAGGCGTATTTTCGCAACGAGCAACGAGGAAACGAATACGCTGGTGGTTGGCCAGGCGGCACAGTTTGTATCGTTTGGGAATGTGAGGTGCTCCAGAACAGTGACGACCAGTCTGACAGGCTGCTACATTCTCCAGCTTCTCTACCAATCGTTTTTTGATACTGCGTCTGGACTTTGGAGATCGCTTCGAGGCGGAGCTGGATGCGGAGGAGCCGCACCGCCCACTGTGAGCTGCGCTTGCGCCTCGCAAACGTGTTCGCTTGTCATTTCGTCGTTGGCTATCTCGTATCTACGTTTATGGAATATCTCGAGGTCAGTCACCAGTCGAGATCTACCCCGCCCGCGTGCTCTCGTCGCACGAGATCCATGTACAACTCATCGCCGTCTGTGGCATTAGTACTCCGGATTCGCCACCACTCGGATGGCAGTAGGTTCCGAGAAGAGTGCTACAAGAAGACGTTATGCTCATACAGTTATGGACGGCTCGACCAGGCCTGACCCGAGAGACAGTGTAGTCCTTCGGCACATGCAACAGTCCGTCCGAACTCGGCTATACGAATCTTGCGAGGTCATACTCCCCGTCATCTGAAAAGCTTGTCGCTCGAGAAACGGCTGACAGGGGCAGCTGGAGCTTCAGCTCAGGCTGAGGTTTGTCAGATGCAATGCTTACAAGATGGTGCCGTAATTAATAATCTGGCCTTCGTACGGTCGTACCTGTCATGTCTTGGTGTCTTCAACCCCAGACTCGTGAATGGACCAATCTCGCCATGTGCTCATCCCGGAATTCCGATTTCTAATCTTCCAATGACCTCATCTCTGCAATATCTCAACCATAATCAATGAACACCAAGATCGCCCAAAGTGGCATCCTCCTCGCCTTTAGCAGCGTGCATGATGTGCTTTCTATCTCCGCAAGACCACCTCCTGATGCTTAATGTTATCCCCAGGGCCAAGGGTCCAGTCACGTGTACCGGAATTTCAACAAGAACGGCTCCGCTCGGTAACTCGGGACTTTTCGTTTCCTGGCAGGCGATACTGGTATCGTATTCATTTCCCTTGGAAACCTCAACCCGATCCCAACCGTGGATCCTCTTCGCCTTATGGAATACACATCGATGTCAGCCTCACCCGCGGCGGCCAGCGGCCAGCCCAGCAGCAGCCCGAGGACAATCCATTGAATCCAGGAGTGGCAGCCGGCCAGAAAAACCTGACTACAAAACCTCCATAATAATTCCCAACCAAGGCCGTTGAAAGCCCTGATTTCCCATGACTGAGTTGACTCTTCCCTACTTCCTCAACTCCTTTCGGCGTTAACACCGCCGCTGAAAAATTTTCCGGGCCCGCAACAGCTCCGCCTGCTCGGGATACAGTTCCACAGTTCCACAGTTCCACTATTCAGCCTGGCAGAAAAAAAAAATCTAGACTAGATCGCGGCCAGCACCGAAGGCATTCGGATGGATCGGGAAATTTTACACTGCAATTGAGCTAATTGAGCCCTGTGACTCGAGGAGGGGCCATATGGCATAAAGCATGAGTCAATTCGCCCTCTTGATTCGAGATGGACATGGACTTCCGGCTACAGTCGGTTGTTGCTTGTTCAACGAAGAGCTCTGCATAATTTTGGGAGGATCTTTTGGAATGCCAGTAAACGCGTTAATGTCTTTGTGTCCGAGAGATTTATGCTTACAGTCCAGATCGGAATCTTGGATTGAAATCACATGGCAATTGACAAGCCACGAAGTACTCTGTATACCGAAGGTCCGAAGGGTCCGAAGGCTAAGCTTTTGTGCGTTGCAGTTGAAGCCTGAATTTGTCGGACCTGTCGGTGGCTCACAGGCTGATATTACTTAGAAGGTGCCATCATCCTTGATATTGGCAAGATGGCCGAGTGGTTAAGGCGGCAGATTTAAGATTTTTCAATCGAAACCCTGCTTCCGCAAGGAACGTGGGTTCGAACCCCACTCTTGTCATTCTCTTTTTTTTTCTCCCTCAACCCATAACTTCAAACCCAGCAGCACGACAATGAGCCTTTTACTTGTCTTACCTGGAGATGAAGGCTTGTTTCTTCAACACCCATCATCTGTATCAGCATTGAAGACTATTATAGTACAGTCTCAGCATCAGCATCAAGTTCTCTTTGTCGTCGGCCCGTCCTCTCTCCCCTCAAAAATAGCCCTGACCTCTTTGTTCACCCCAACCCCTCGACTTCGCTTTGTTCGTCCCGACGCCCTGTAATCTATTTTACGTGCCTGGTACTTGGCTGAAATAGACAAAGACGACCAGAAAAACAAACCTTCGAGAAATTCGACTCGACACTTTGGCTAGAGTCTAGACTGCAAACCACCTTATCCGACTTCATCAACAGGGACCGGATTTACGGAATCCACCCACATGTACACCACAAACCGAAGAAAGCCTAATGATAGTAGATACGTAGTACTGAACTAGTGGTAGAGCTCCTGCAACGTCATTTATCCACCAGTCCCATCTCGACGATCACCGAACCGAGAGCAGAACCTAGATCCTGCAGGGTCGTCACGCCCAGCTCTTTAGCATATCCGAGCGAACCAGCAAAAGCACGACAGATTGCAGCTTATTTCCGTAATGACGTTAGTCACGAAGCTTAATCCGCGTAGACTGGGTGTATAATGGATTACTTGAGGTTGTGGTGGGTTCTAGTAAGCATTATCCAAGGGCTTGGTCAGGGGCTAATCATGTAGTAGTCAGTGTGCTAAGGTGATTTGGCTTGCTGCTGTGGCTGCTTCAGGGTCTTACACAGGACACAGTGGGACTTTAGGGTGTTTATGGGGTTATGACGAGGTTTTAATGCCTAGGGCTTGTTGATTAGCGGCGTGAGAAGGGAATTTCAATGATATATATATCTGACTTTTTTGGGTTAGTAACTGGATAATGACGGCTAGACGACGGCGACGTATACTATATCTTGAGATTCCCAATGTCAGATCATTTAGAACTACCCGCTGATTGCAAAACAAGATCCACTTCACAGAAGAATCCAAAACAACTGTTTAATCATCGGAGCTAGGGTCACTCTCTGAGTTGAAATCATCCATCAAATCCTCTCCGCCGCCTTTCTCGCTATGTTCAGCGACTTCTCACACCCTCCGAACTATGCAGAAAGATACCCGATCAGATATAGTAGCATCGTCCAGTCTCAAATGAACGCCTAGACGACTTGCCCCGACAACATGCTCTTCATCATGAGGACTTGCTGTGAGAGGAAGTCCATCACCTTCGGGTGCCAGTGTTTCTGTAAGAAGTCTAGGATAGAACTCTCAAGAAGTATCTGCTCCTCTTCTCGGATTTTACCGACCACCTCTCCCTCTCTATCTTCAATAACGGAAGGCTCGTTTTCCTCCAAGTGATGACAGCATGTACGAGTTAAACCAAGTGCATCAAAGGTCGTGGACCTTACAATGGATCTGACTGCCCCTGATGTTGTTTCGCCAAGTGAGACCAGATATTCGAGAGCTTCTGGCGCTCGAAAACCCGCTGGGGGCATCGGCCATTGTAACGCTCGCCGCAGGGCCATTGAAAAAAGGGTGCACTCATCAGGGCAACAGCCGCACAAGCAATTGTCCCCGATGGGCACTGAAAAGATATACTTGTCAAGTGTTCCCTTTCCATAGCCGGTTATATATAAGCCTACCTTGATAGTTAAACTGTAAGCATGATAGCCCGGCTCAAACATGTCCATACCGGGGAGATCGCGGACAGCCGTCATTAAAGGTATGCTGCCGGAGGAGTCGGGGACGTCAACATCGCAGAACCCAACTTTGCACATTGAATTCATTGTAACCAGGAACGGTTGCACCCAGGTATTGTGTTGGGAGCCGTAGTAACCATGATGCACTGATCTCTCTGGATTTTCGACCTTTAAGACGGGCTCGATTGCTACCTTCCTCGTGGAAAGAGCATTGAACAGACTCTCAGCCACAGCATCAGGGAGAGGGTCATTGGCCGATCTCCACTGGGCAATATATTGTCAGGGAAGATAAAACTTGCCAATTGCTCTAGCCGCTTTCTTCGCAAAACCAATTCCTCAACCAGATCTAGGAGCATCTCTGGAGATCCTCGGTGAGACAAATGTCCCAGCCTGATATTGCAGCCTGCTTGGAGGAGTAAGCGGAGAGATTCTCGACAATAAAGACATATGTCTCAGAATATAGGGTCGTGGGCCCCAGAGGAGTATCGGTATATATCGACGCCAGCTCCCAGAATTTGCATACCTTCCAGCCAGCCAATGCTAATCTCAAGTAACCTCAAGTCCTGGATAGTGCCATTAACATCCACCAGCCCAGAATTGAGGGCAACTCTAAGATCTGGCTCGGATTCTCGAACGATGGTCTTACTGATTCCCGGGAAGAAAATCTCCATGGGTATTCTATCCTTAAGATGCTCAATAGGCAGCCCCAAATATACTCTATCTGACATGGGGTTCTCTCTGGAATTGACCGCGTGAAGACGAAAAGCCGGGGCGATGTACCAGCCCCCAGCACCGCTTAGTAAGAAGGAGGCTGACATCAAAAGTCCCAACCTACGGCAACTGAAGGTGCACGCTTTCATGATAGTAGTTGAACGGTCCTTGGTGGACAGTCGCCCGCAGGAAATTTCGTGTCATCACATTGCTGAGTTGGTGGATTTGACGAGCATTCTCGGGTATCGATGCCCTGACCGGCAAGCAGATTCAGATAGCTAGGAAAAGCTCGTTGCAAGTCGGGGTCTTCTTGCCCGATTGCTTCATTTTTGGTGCCGGAAGAGCTAACGCTGATCAGGGAATCATTCTTGATGGAGGCTTAGGAGCCAGTCCTTGTCTCTACCAGCACTAGAAGGATTAATATTCGAAAGACAAGATCCCAGTTCCGCAAGTCAGCGGAATGAGGCCGTGAGTGCTTGAACGTACCATACCTGATTTCCTAAGCATGTCACTGAGATCCTCCGTAAACAAACTGAAATATTCCGAGGGGCCATATTCAAAGGTTTCATCAACTTATCACAGCCGGATCATAACGGCAAAACCAGTTATATAGGCTATAGGGTCTTTCGATGACGCCAACAGTACCCCTAATCAGCATCGGCATTACCTTTTAATGTGGCTCAACACATCTTGAAGAGGATGTAAACAGGATTCGACACTCGAAAGGGGGCGGGCCAACAACTAAATGGTGTGGTTCATTCGTAAGCTTAATTACCCCCATTGGTTCTGCAGTTCCGAGTTAACATGGATCAGGGAGATGATGTATCGACCAAGAAAAATCCATCAGCAAGCGTTACCATAGGCTTCTAAAAAGGCGGTCTGACAGATATTTCCGAGTCCTCGTATATCAGTATGAGGCTGACAGTCCGCCATCCTGCCGTCAAATGTGAATATGCCCTGCACCATTCTTAAATTTCCGCTTTCGCAACTCAAGATTCTGAAGAAGAGTTATAGAGAAGAGCCCAAGGACAAGAATTATAGCGTGGAGATGGTGCTTTCTGGGGCGACGGGTGAATGTACGGTGTATCTTGATGGCAGAAAACAACGTAAACAGAACGCGTCCAGCGAATTCGGACCAAGAGAGCTGGCGAATTCCAGGTTGTTCTGGTTATGTCAGTACCCTGTTCTCGTCTATTCTAAATTCCGGTTTAAGAAGCATCATTCAGCAAGTAATGAGCATTTTGTTTGTTGATGTTGCAAAGATGAAGAGGGACTTAGGATATGCTGTCTATAAGTGTGCACACCAATGGCTGGTCATGTGCAGCACTAAGCCGATTCTAGACAAGCCTCATTCCAGGGGACTCGCGACTCGACGATGACACCATCATCATAGATATTGACGATCAGCTTTTATCGGCCATCTTCGAGGACTGACTCCAAGTCTTTCGGCCCGCATAATTCGGGAGAGAACGGAGGTTCATAACTGAGCCAAGCCTTGGGGAAGAGTGGGAGAGAAAGAGAGGAAAAAGCGCGCTCAGCCACATGACCTTGGCCCTCGACATTATGATTGTCACACTGGCTGACGGTCCACCTGTTCAGCCAACAAAAGATAAGCCTCCGTTCTGGCGTTCTCCTCTTTCTTGCCTGTGCCCTCCTAGCCAATCAAGCTATTTCTTGGCCAAGTAAGCGTCTCCAAAGTCTTCTTTGTTTTGCTTACCAACAGCGCCAAGACCGGATTTGGACCCGAGCGCCGATGCTGATCCCCCCGACTTTTGGCCCCCAGGTTGTCTCCGGGATGTCACTGTCACTGTCAATCGGACATCTTCGACTTTACCCCGCTATCCATGAGAGATTTTGCCTCCCGACCATCCAGCTTGGGTAAGAGATCGGAAAGTCTCCGAGGCTCGAGTCATGCCATAATGCAACCCGTCATTCCCCGGCTCTCGTCCCCAGATTGGAGATAACCCTGTTCTGACGCTCAAGCCCTTGCAAGGGTCTCGTGGTCTCGACCGGTGTAGGGTAGATAATAAACCAGCATCCTTTCGTGCGGTTCCACAGGGCCTGGGATTGTCCCTCTCTGAAAGTTGACACTGTAGTCCGCAAGGACGTCTGTCGCGGCCTCAAGATACAGGCCGTCTCGTACAGTTCGCCCGATAATCGGCATTGCTTTTACCTTTTTCTAGGCAAAGCCTTCTTTCAGCTTGGCTGACCAAATCCTTTGTCGTCTGCCCGTCCCTCCATGACCACGCGCGAAGATTTCCCTACTTAGTGTGTCTCGGCGTCCACGTCGAACTTTGTCAAACACCCAAAAAACATCCCGAAAGGGTTATGCTCGACACCGTGCGGTGCAACCCCAGATTACTTAGTCCCTTGGCATCACCTTGGCTCGCCATGGATTTGTCGCCCGCCGTGGGGCTTGTACGCAATGGCCAGAATTTCGGAGGGGTTGGACGTCGAGGGAATGCGGGACGTGGGGTGTTTTCGGACTGTGTCCGCATGTTCATGTTGCGCATGGGACGAGTCTGAAGTGAA